GGAAAATTTGTGTGATTTGAGTTACACAAATATCTTGTTGAGTCAAGACTTCCGACTTAAAACGTACACGGCTTATTGATGTTATAACTCAAGCAAACTTTGAGAGAAGAAACTCTTTCGGTCTGTTGTCGACCCTAAAATATGAGACTCAGTGGGGTGAAGAACGATTCTAGCTTGTTTTAGGAAACGTGATGTGCCATACGCTCATAAAATGAATGAAAATGTTATGTTTATTTTGCTCGGTCATTGGACCTCGGTGGTGTTGAAATCGCTGCTCAAGTCTGTTAAAAAGTCTTTGATCGACATTCAGAGACAAACGTGAGACTCCTGTTCTGCTCGACATTTTTAACACGCCTGTCAATCAAATCTTAGCCACATTAATCATCAAAATATAATACTCTGACTCGTTCTGATGCAGATGTTAAGTTAATTTAAACTTACTAATGTAACTCCAGCTGTCTAGTAACTAGCCTTGCTGTTTGCTAAATCAAGAATTGCTCATTTTAAAGCCGTTGAGTTGAGCGCGTCTTCTCAGATTGGAGGACAAACATGGTAGTGATGCGATATTTTTGCAGATGTTGAGTCATGCCCCCCGTCTTCCTAACCCCACTGCTCTGCCGTGCACTTGTTGAGGTGTTTCTTGATTTGTGGTCATTTTGCACGATGCATCTGTCTTTTGAAGTGCAAAAGAAATCGTGACGCAAATGTGCAAATGTAAATGTGTAGGCCAACAAACAATGGATGTAGAGATTTGTAAAAGCTTATAGAAAATGATTAATGTGTTAAATCTTATTTACTCTGCTCTGCCTTATCACACAGCAACTCACAGATTTTCACTCATTTTAGTTCATGAAAACTGTGTTAAAACTCACCGTGATAAGTACTAAGTTCAGCCTCCTCCCTCAGTCCTCCTTCATGAAGTGGAAGCAGCATCCCCTCCTCTCCCTTCCTCTTCTACTCTCTCGTTCCCCTCCTTATGTCATGCAAAGCGGTGCACAGGGCCGTCAGTTAAGGTTCCTAATTCACTTGATGAGACGCGGAGCACAAATGTTTTCCCCGGCAATTAGAAGGCGTGTGCATGTGAGCGGAAGCAGCAGCGAGTCTGAAGCTGTTGGAGCTCACCGCCGTCAGATGTCAACAACAGCTCAGGGGCAGGAAGTGGCACTGCTCGGGGGCCAAGTGGAGACGGCCCAGTTCACCTTCCCTTCACCGACCTCTCTCTGCTCCCTCTAATCTCTCTGAATGACTCTGTGTCTCTGGTTGCATGCACCATGAGCTTTGAGGGAAGGTTTTGATTTTGTGCCTATTTGATTGATGTACCTGAGATTATCAGAGATGGTTTGCACTAAAAGAAACCGTCTTTAAGGAAGTCTGAGTGCATGCATTCAAAACAGGTAGGAACACAAACCTTTTAGATGTGCAGCAACATGTCAGACTCTCAGGAAGTATAAGAAGTAACAGAAGGCGATGGAGACTTCAGCTTTGTTGGATGCACTGTTGTGCATTGGCTGAGGACCGGCTTCCTGAACGGGATCAGCAGAGTTGATTTAAAAGATGGATGGAGTTATACCTGGGACTGTTTTCTTCAAGAAGATCCTAAAGACAGACAGTCTACAATGTTGATTGCAAATGATCAGATATGTGTTTCTAGACCGTTCTGCATAGTGCGGTAACAGCGCAGGTGGTTACAGCCAAGTATAATGATGACGTATGGTTTGCATGAGAAACGGAGATACTTCATTAATACAGTCTCGCTATCAGGTCCAGGTATAGAGCTTCAGGACAAACCTAGTGGTAGGAGTCTGCTTGCAGAAGAAGGAACCCAGCTCTGACATTTTTCTTTCATCTACTTGACTTGTGGTGAAGCTGACACTTTCTGCTCTGAGAATCATCTGCAGAAAACCTGTTTGGAATTGCTTATCAACTGACCTTTATTCACATGTGAGGTGGATCAACAAAATCACATCTCGTGTCCTTCAAATGTATCTGGATCCAATCTGGATATGGCAAAACACAGAGTTGTTAGTTTCTGTCTGAACAACGGCCAAATGTCAGAAAATCTCCACCCCTGCTTTTTTAGTTTTGACAATAAAAAAAAAGTAACTCCAACAAGTCATCTCCATGGTACAGAAGTGCAAAGTGAAAACCATACAGATGGTTATCTTAATGACTCTGTAGACTCCTGGGCTGTGTCTGTGTAGCTCTTTTTGAATATGGTGATGATACATGAAGTGTTGGAAATACTGGAAATGCGTTGCTGCTCAGCGGACCAATCACAGGGCTTGCAGTCTGCCTCTGAGAGGAGAGGCAACATGGTGTGAATATACTCTCAGTGTGCCCGTTTGAAGCGAGTCGGCCACCAATTAATCACCTGCTGCTTTTGATTCACCCTCAGCGGCCAGTCTCTCTCCCTCCTCATGTTCTCCTCTTCACCTTCATCCCTTCATCTCTGACAGATGAAGAGGAAGTGCCACATGGAGCTGCACCGCGCCATCTGAGCTGGCAGCCCGACAAAGTGTCCAAACAACCTTTTTCCCCCCAAACAGTTTAACAGATAATTGGTAGCAAATGCCTTTAAGGACGAGCCAGTGATTGCTGAGAGGAGTTTATATCCACGAGGCAAAGGCTTTTTAATTTCCCCATGATTTATTTGTTTCCATTTTGATGACTTTTTGCATTTTCCGTACATTTAAAATGAATCCTGGCTCTTCTTTGCAGACATGGACCTTTAATTAAAGATCGCTTTTGGAACATTTTGGAAGTAGGCTCCGCTCGCTGTTTGATTTATATCTTTTTAATGCAAAGAGGTGTCATTAATCTTCTGAGTTTATGTGGATTTAAGTGTTCCTGTAAAGCCCAATCACGCTGACTTGGTCCCTCGGTTTCAGACACAGGCGTCCTTTGTTAGAGTTGTGTGTCGGCTTATGTAATTGGCTTCCGGTAAACATGTCTGTGGCGCTTCATGGTGCAGAATGTGGCATTGATTTGGCTTTTCGTCATGACAGTTTCTAACCAAGTGAAACCTCTCAGACGAGGATCTTTTCATGTTTACATCCGCCCGCTTTCGGACACTTCAAAGCAGTCGTTTCCCTGAGCCAATTTCACAATGTTAATCAGCTGAATGGAAGTGTTTTGTGGATAGAAAGTCCTGTGGTATTTGAGTCAGTGTGCACATGTGTGTTGGTGACTTTGCATGCTGTATGTTTGTGTTCTTGGGTGTGTGTGTATGCTCAGTGTCCAAGTCTGGGTTATGTCCACATGCAGGATGTTGAGGCTGAGAGAAACGTCAGTGTGTTTGCGAGAGTGTTGCCCGTTGCTGTACGAGTAAACCATCCAACCATCGCTCAAACCTGGCAACCTGACTCACGGACAGCTCTGTGATCACACAAACAAATACCCAGCTCGTATGTCGGCCTGAAATTGGTGTTGACAGGAAAGTAATACAGTCATGCATTGCCAATCTGTTGAACGTGATCTTTCATCTAATGAACTACTTTTACACTACCCATGTCTCCTGGAAAAAATGTCTGTATAGGACTAATTATTTTGCCAAATCCATTTAAAAGAAACCATAATTGCAGCCTGCAGTGTGTTCATTGGCAATGTTGTTTTTCCAGCAAAATAAGTTCTTCATTCTTGTTACAACGCAAGTTGTTTGAAGGTGGTTGGGTTTGTTGGAAGGTGTACAAAGAGCAGGAATCTGCATCATGTGGTTGAGTTTAAACTACAAGAAACGACTTGTTTGGAATGCCGCAAAGTTTCAGTTAAATGCATAGACTGTATATAAGAAGTGGGCATATGGGGGCGCAGTGGTTGCTGGACGCGCCCCATGTAGGGACGCTATAGTCCTCCAAGCGGGCGGCAACCGGTTCGAAACCGACCTGTGGCTCCTTTGCTGCATGTCATTTCCCACTCCAAAACATCTATGGAATATCTCGACAGCCAGTTAATGTATTGTTGTGAAAATTGGTACAACCAAAAATAAACTTTACAGGATGACTTGGAATTATTTTGATCCCCTGACTGGTCCAATTCTTTGGTTTATGACCAAATATGTGCACAATATGAAATTCCTATCAGACTTGGCTATAGCCTCAGCTTGTGTTTAGTGCTAATAGGAAAATGTTGTCTGCTACTGTGCCAATGTAAGATTATGAACAAGGTAAACATGCTAACATCACCTCCAACAGTAGATATAAATCCCTCGAGATGATACATACCTGCACTCATCTTCAGTACTTAAGGAGGAGGATGTGGATGAGGAGAAGGAGGATGTTAGCCCGTGTCCTCCTGATTGCCCTGCCGGATCTCCTGCTATTCACACGGAGGGGGAGGACTGTTTGTTTAAGTGGCTCCTCATGGCAACTACTTGTGAGCAGCTCCTGCAAAAGCCTCCGCTGGCTCAGCACAGAGGAGGTGGGGGGTGTTGGGGGCAAGGGTGCATCACGGACGAATAACCACCGGCTTATGCTCTTCTCTCCTGCCTCTCCACTTACTACTACCCCTCCTCACCATCAGAGTGTCCTCTGCTGTGTAAATCTGCTGTAAGGGTTCTACTGTAGGGGAGTTTCCTGGATACTGTATTGCTACTTCATTAATCGGCAACTAAATGGACTAGAAAAATTTGAAAGCCTACGTTTTTATCACCTTGTCAGCCATTTTATTTAGCTGCACTTACCTTAAATGTTGCTTGAGTCGTCTGATCTGGGTTCAAACTACCAGCCAGAGCAATTTTATTTCCATTGATTGTCAAGAATAACTGTGCAGCATTTAGTTCAACTCACAAGAAAAAAGGCCAATTTATCCCAAAATTGGACCAAATCATTTGCTGTTTTGTGTTTCTTCAATCGAAGACCTCCGTCTTAAAATACAAAAGAAATCCAGCAATGGCTGCAGAAAGAAGAGAAAAAGCCTTTAAGACTACTCTAACTGTGTGCAGAAAATAACAGAAAAACGTGAAATGATGAAGTCTCAGTAACTTAACCATCTTTCTCTTTCAGACATGGATGAGTGTGAGAACGACTACAACGGAGGATGTGTCCATGAATGCATCAACATACCTGGAAACTACAGGTGCACCTGCTACGATGGATTCATGCTGGCCCACGACGGACACAACTGTCTCGGTAAGGACGGTCTATGTTCATCACATCCCTCATTTATGGCTGGCCTGCACCAACTATGAATTACAAAGCACACACATTTTAAACAATTAGAAATTAAATTTGTTATACAAAGTTGACTCTGAACTCGGGCTGCACGCCAGTGCAGTGGTTCGAGGGCGTTCCTTGTTCAGAACAGACAAAAACGAAGACATGCTCGTTAGGTTAACTGGTGACTCTAAATTGTCTGTAGGTGTGAATGTGAGTGTGGCTGGTTGTCTGTCTCTATATGTCAGCCCTGTGATTGACTGATGAACAGTCCAGGGTGTAACCCCGCCTCTCGCCCAATGACAGCTGGGATTGGCTCCAGACCCCTGAAAAGGAGAAATTGGAATAGATAATTGTAGAAATAGATTACTTTTTTACGGGGCAGAGCAAAATTGTCTAGTTATAAGCAAGTGATACACATGCTCGTGGACTTTAAGATGATGCGTTGTTTCTTTCATGATACCTCCTCAACAAGGTAAATTCAAACTTAATATGTTTAGGAGCTCCACGGAACAATTTGTCCAACTCCAACACAGAAGCAAAAGAAATGTGACTCCTGGGCTGTGTCCGAAACCACATACTTTCATACTACACTGTAAAAAATAATCAAGTTGTTTACACTTTTTGTTTACACACATTTTTGAGTTGACTGTAATTAGGACGATAAGTGAAGACAAATTTGTTTTCAGTCAAACACAAAAATGTTCCTCATCAGTTTAACGTTTTAAATGCATTTTATTCATTTTAAAGATCTCTTCAGCGTGCAGATTCGTTCATTTTAGTGTCTTTACACCTAAAATGGAGAAACTGAAACGTTTATTTCATTTTACAGCAGAGCTCTGCACAAATCTTAAGCTGTGTTTACTGATTGAAACATGGTGTCATCAACCCCTTTTCAAACAAACCTCAGATTAAATTCATCTGGTGGCACTGAGTTTATGAATGTGTTTCTGATAAAAGAGGTGATGAAATGATTTGTTGTTATTTGATTGGTTGATAGACTAAAGGGACTTTGTAAAACTGTCTTGTCTTGTTGTAAAACATGAAATCAGTCAAAATAGAAACCCCATAAATGTCTTTTTGATTATTCGTTATGTTGAGTAATGGCAGAATCTTTGATTTATTACTGGCTTTCATGTGGCATCATGGGATATTCATCTGTTTTGAAAATTGGAGACTTTGGATGATTGAGAGGCCTTAGAGAAGTCTGTTTTGAATGTGTGGTTTCTGCTTTTGGCCTTTTATTTTGTGTGATCAGTCCTTGGTGTTAATCTGTGAGTGTTTTAATAGTTGTGTCTGAATGCATGACGCTGATTCTTTAAAGGTCACATATCCTCCTCCTCTTCAACCAGTTTAAATAAGTCTCAGAGGTCCTCAAAACATGTGTGTGAAGTTTCTTGTTCTAAATCCACTCTGATCCTGTATTTGATCATGTCTATAAACCCCTCTATTTCAGCCCTGCTCAGAACAGGCTGTTTCTGTGTCTGTACCTTTAAATGTAAATGAGCTGTGTCTGATCACGCCCCCTCTCTGGAAAGGCTTGGGTGTCTCTGTCTTTCTCGCTCCATGTCCTATTGTTCACGGTGAGAAGGCAGACTCAGAGGGCAGAACAAACACCTAGCTGTGGGAGTGTCACCCACCTGGGGGAGGGTTTACTGCCCTTTGTGATGTCATGGAGGGAAAATCTCCAAACAGCCTGTTTGAACACACATTTTCTGAAAAGTGGAGGATGCAAAAGACGGAGAGGATGGACTTTTCTCATCATTGGGGGGTTTGTAGACAGACTAGAGACACTTATTAGAGTTAGAGAAACATGGAGAAGTGGATTTAGCAGAATATGGGACCTTTCAATAATTGTAAGAGAATAGATATGTCTGTCTGTGCTTATGTGCGTATGCTTAAGGGTGCATGTGTATGAGTGCAGTGTTTCCCCTAGGTTTACAGCGTTGGGTGGGTGGGGACACGACGACATGACGACACGACAACACCAACACTTGAAGGAATCTTGGTGTTCATGGGTTACTTTTAATGACAGCTGTCCTTTAAGGTATCCTTAAATGACTTCTTTCCCTGATTTCCGACTCTATCCACTATCCTATCCCTACAATAAAGGCACAAAAAGCCCAAAAATAAAAATTATTTAATTTTTTTTACTTGACCTTCAGGGGGGGGCGTTGAGGAGCGGGCCGCCCCCCTAATATAATGGTAGGGGAAACACTGGAGTGTATGTGAATCCCGTCTGGCTCTCAGTCCCCTCTGTCATTGTTTGGAGCTTTCCATGATTTGTGCCGTTTGCAGCTTGTTTTTCGGCTCCGTTGGGAGGACGCTCGGGGTTGAAGAGTTCCCCTTCAGAGATCTGGCTGAGCTTTATTACTGACGGATCCAGCTCATTTAGCTCCACTGCTGCCTTATTGACTCTCTGTCAGCCAAACTAATGTTTTTTCTGCCCCGTGCAACAAGTAGTTCTGCACGGATGTGCTCGAACACATTTCATCCTGTCAGCCGCCCGGCGCTGACTGACGAGCGCTCAGATGAAATCAGACACATAAAAACATGCGATGTTGGATGAGCGGGCGTCTTTGCTGGGATGTGTTTTGGCATCTGTAAGTGCTGCAGCTCATTCTTTGAGCCTTTGGAGAGACTGAGTGAGAGATTGAGTGCTAATAGCAGCAGCCAGCGGTGCAGACGAGCCGCTGAGTTGTGGATTCAGCTCACAGGAATGACTCTCAGACAGCTGAAATAAAGCAGAGTTAAACACTCACTGACATCACAATTCACATTTTAACTTCATGAACAAACCTAGAAAGAGATCTGAAATAAAAAAAGACTGATTCAAATCCTGCCGAGCTTCCAGCTGGCCCCTGTGGTTTCTGTTGGATCAGCAGAAGTTTGAAGCATTGGCTGTTTATTGTGAAATTACGTTTTTCAGAAGTGAGGCTGTCATTAGTCCCAGACGTGATGAAAACATCAGAGTTTTTACACCACATTTCCATGACCCAAACACTTACAAAATTAAGAAAACATCATTTTTTCTGTCATGGCCTCCAGACTTGACATCAGTTTTTATGTTGAGTCGTGAAAAAGAAGATAGCAGTCACAGAGAATGAAGCAGTTTGATTTTACGACGAAGCTTTAAGCGTATCGACTGACGCAAAGATTTATTTTCTGAGCTTCAGCCGACATGAAAATCCAGTGTTCAACATTTTCTCAGGGCCGCATATTTAGAGTGCAGACGTTCGAGTCCCTGATAGAAACAGATTCACAACTTGACTGACGACTCTTTTATTTCTTCAATAAAAACTGATGTTGTAAATCAAATCTAGAAGCTCTGTCGCTGTGTGTGTCGCTGTGTGTGTCGCTGTGTGTGTCGCTGTGTGTGTCGCTGTGTGTGTTGCTGTGTGTTGCTGTGTCGCTGTTGCTGTGTGTGTTGCTGTGTGTGTTGCTGTGTGTGTTGCTGTGTGTGTTGCTGTGTGTTGCTGTGTCGCTGTTGCTGTGTGTGTTGCTGTGTGTCGCTGTGTGTGTTGCTGTGTCGCTGTTGCTGTGTGTGTTGCTGTGTGTTGCTGTGTGTGTTGCTGTGTGTGTTGCTGTGTGTCGCTGTGTGTTGCTGTGTGTGCCGCTGTGTGTCGCTGTGTGTGTTGCTGTGTGTTGCTGTGTGTGTTGCTGTGTGTGTTGCTGTGTGTGTTGCTGTGTGTGTCGCTGTGTGTTGCTGTGTGTGTTGCTGTGTGTGTCGCTGTGTGTTGCTGTGTGTGTTGCTGTGTGTGTTGCTGTGTGTGTTGCTGTGTGTCGCTGTGTGTTGCTGTGTGTGTCTCTCTGTGTCGCTTTATTTGTCGTTGTGTTGCTGTGTGTTGTTGTGGTTGTGTGTGTCTCTGTGTGTGTGACGGTGTTTGTCGTGTGTGTAGCTGTGTGTGTGTGTGTGTGTGTGTGTGTCTCTGTGTCTTGCAGTGTGTGTCTATGTGTGTCGCTGTGTGTGTGTCTCTGTAAGTCATTGTCCTTGTGTTGCTGTGTGTGTGTCGTTGTGTGTGTGTGTCTCTGTTTGTGTGTTGCTGTGTGTTGCTGTGTGTTGCTGTGTGTGTTGTGTGTTTCTCTGTGTGTGTCACTTTATTTGTCGTTGTGTCGCTGTGTGTTGTTGTGGTCGTGTTGTGTGTATCTCTGTGTGTGTCACTGTGTGTGTCTCTGTAAGTCATTGTCGTTGTGTTGCTGTGTGTGTCGTGTGTGTCTTTGTGTATCATTGTGTGTGTGTCTCTGTGTGTTTCATGTGTGTTGCTGTGTTGCTGTCCTGGTGTGTGAAGCTCTTTGTGTGTGTCCTTGTGTGGTTCGCTGTGTGTGTGTGTGTGTGTGTGTGTGTGTGTGTGTGTGTGTGTGTGTGTGTGTGTGTGTGTGTGTGTGTGTGTGTGTGTGTGTGTGTCTTGGTGTGTCTCTGTGTCGTGTGTGTTGTGGTTAACTGAAGGATGTTTGTGGGACTTCACACACGCGTTTGTGCCGCTCTCTTAAACGCTGAGTCATGTGAGAACTGTCATCACCTGCTCTTTACGAGAGGAAACTCAAACCCAGAGACTTCCTTATTGGACGGGACGAGGCCTTAATGAACTGACGCGTAATTAAAAGCAGGTTACGGAGTTCAAACGAGGCAGTAAAGCGTGAAATCAGAGCGAGGGACGTGTGTGATCACAATCAAAGCCGGCGCTGTCGCTCCTTCTTCTTCTCTTTCCCTTTTCCATGACTCCTTCAGCTCCTCCTCGTGCTCCTCTTCTGTCTCATTTAGTGTTTTTCATTTCCTGCTTTGGCCGTCCTTTATGTCCTTCCTCTTCACTGTAAATCATGTTTAATCCTTTTAATCCATTCCTCCCTTTTCCTATCCTCTTTCCTTCATCCTTTTCCTTCAGTTCCTCCCTTTCTTTACCTTTTTACTCATCTTTAATACGCCTCTCTTCTCCTTTCTTTTGTGCTTCCTCACTCCTCTTTACTCTCTGTCTTTC